TCCAAGCATGACAAGGAATAGTTTCATTTTTTAATCTAGAAAATTGCAACATATAAGCTTATTTTTCAAGACAATGGAAGAAAATTGGCTTGGCTTGAAGATGTGAAAGCTGCATGCACCAGTGCTCAAGGCTTTGTCTTTGGTAGGCACTAGCCATTGCCAAGGAAGCACCGTAATTTCTGCAGTGATATTTAATTTTGATCTGTGTATCACATATTCATAGTTAATTTATTGTAAAGCAGCTAAAGCAAAACAAGTTACTGTTTTGTTCAGTTTTTGTTGTGCCAAAAAATTATGTTACAAATTATCATGCAATACTCTGGTCCCTTTAGACTCAGAAAAGAAATTCTTCTAAAATAAATGACTGGCCATACATTAAGTTGTCTAATTAGGTTAGGCAACACTGTGGAAGGCAGATAAATCTTCGCTTTTTTTTTTTTTTGAGAAAGTGAAAATCTGTCCCATGTCACTTGCAAATTGCAAAGAAGCAAACACTTCTGAACAGTATTCAGAATTCAGCAATATGTAAATAAAGGTCATTTGTTAAAGTGCTTAAAGTTGTCTTGAAAGCTGCCATAAAAATCTATATGTTAGCACTTAAAAGCAGTCTGGTTTCCCAGGGAATTAGTAGTTTTGAACATCAGAGCCCTTCTCTGTGCATGACAATATTGATTTAAGGTTAGCTCCTTCTTTAAGCAGAGTGGTGAAAGTTCTCAGGGCCATGATACTGAGAACAACTCTTATTTAATGTTAGTCATAGCAAAATTGGACTACTTTGCAGAGAAAGATGCTTAAATGAGCAAGTTCCATTTATTCAAATTCCAAACAGACATTTTCATTTCAGCACAACTTTTAGTCTCCCTCAGATAAATATCTACGCATACCTTAAATCATGAATGACTCATTCCCAAAAGCTTGCGGCAACAGGTCTGTTCCAATTGCACTTGCATATACCAAAGTATAGCAAATAGTCCTCCATTCAAAAATACCAAATGAGCTTGAGAACATGAATGCATTCTTTAAATTATACATAGAGAGATCACTGAAGACTCATCAATAAATTTTAATTGAAGATTTGCAAATGATGCAGGGAAAATCCTGAAAAAAATCTGGATTCCAAAGTCGTGAAAAAGAAGTAGCATTCACCGTCTGTGGCCCTTGACAACAAGCAGATTGTCAACATAACCATACAGTAAAAACATAATTGCTTTTACAAGCTTAAACCATCTGTGAAAACAGAGTGCTTAAAATGCTAACTTAAATGGTTGAAAAAAAAAAAGAAAAAAAAGCACAAACTGCATTCTGGTATACTAAGGCAATATTAAACAGCCAGCACAAATTCAATAAAGCAGAGCAATTCAGGCAATGAAAATCAACATCCAAGACAATCTCATGGGTTTATCTTGAATGGCTATCTCTTGTGAACCAACAAACAGCCAAAAATCTTCAAAATATTGCTCACTTTACTTGAACACGTGTTCTGGAAATCCTTAAGCCTCACATGGGTTTGGGTCTTGGCTTAAGACAGTCGAAAGGGGAACACTCTAAAATGAGTTCTCTCTCTCTGTTTTATCCAATCACTTCCACTAATAAGGGGAAATGAAATATGAGTAGATGTAAGTCAAAAAATAGCAATTTACTAACAAGCAAAACTCTGACAGGCAAAAAACAGCAGCAAATAATCCATAAATTACAAAATTGTTAAATCTCCCAAGTTCAGAAGAAAGAGACTCCCAAAATGCAGAAATACTTTCCCACTGCCAACCAAGAGCGGGGAGGCAGAGGGAAAATGGAAAATGTCACTCCCTTCAACATGAGGCCTTTGAAGGTGACCACACGGTCTGGGAGGCAAAGGGGAAGGATGGCAGCAAACCCTGCTGGATATGTGGGAGCTCCTGGAGCAGTTCTAGTTGCAGATGGGAAGTGCTGGCACGTGAGGAGTCAGTTCTGCCTCCCGCTGCTTCCTCCTGCTGCCCGCCGGACTGTGCCGGCGCTGGCGCTGATGTCCGCTCCGCTGCAGGTGTGTTGGAGGGGAAAGGACTGACTCTCAGCACTGAGGCAGAGTGGGCCATGACACTGAGTTTTGGAACAAAGTTTTGATATTTTTTCTTTCTTCTCCATGTCAAATATTATGAGCTTTTAACATTTTTAACATAACTGTGAATGGATATGGAACCAGGCGCTTGCAAAGGCAGTGCATCATTAATGGTAATAAACCAAAAACCATGAAGAACTCCATGACAGAAACATGCAACAGAAACCAAAGCTCAGAGACCTTTCTGGAGAAGACACTGAGTACATCACTACTGCACATTTAAACAACTTAAAGTACTGTCCAGTTTATAGTCATTTTTTGCCTGGAAGAACCACAAGACACACCCTTCCTTGGTGCGGTGTTCTGCTCATAGTTCCTCCTCTGGTGACTGCCCTAATCCACAGAAGTCCCAGGCTCACTGCACACATTTTTACACCATGTGGCTCGTTCTCTGCACTGGCTTGGATATAACAGATCTAAGTTTTACTTCTGAATTCCTTTTGAATATGTGGAATTTTACATCCAGGTATGCTTTGTTTTGAGAGCTGCTATTTTGTAGGTGCTGCATGACAGTCTTTACAAAGCATGAAGAAATAACTGAAAGCCAAAAAATTATTCATTAGTCACCTCTTTCATCTTTGTCTCTTTGTATAGATAACTAAACTAGAGAAGCTAAATAAATTCCACAATAATATACCCTTTCCCATAAAATATATACAAAAATACGTGTGAAGGTATGAAAGAACATGGAAAAGTATACAATTAGATAAGAGCATAGAAGCTTTTCTATGAAAGCATACAGTGATAATTTCCCAGTGTAATGTCCCCGCTGTTACCACCCTTTGACCATTTTTTACTTCTGCATTAGAGATAACATCTGTCATAGTGCTCCTACTTCCAACATTTTCCATAGACTGGCGGTTCTTTTGCTTTTCTCAAATATTTATAAAAAATTAATTATCTCATAAAATAACTACCTAAAAGGAAGATATTTTCTTTCTGCATTAATTTAACATCTTAATCTAGTAGAACTGGTGTGCTGCAGAGCTAAGATTTTTGCCGAGATATTGTATTTAATGTAAATAATCCCTTTTCTCACCTCTGGCATTTAACAGTCTTTCTTTATCTACATTAGTGATTCTGACATTTCAGAATAATTACTAAACTTTTCACTTCTTTCCATGTTCCCTGTGACTTAATTCACTACTTTCTTAAAAGATTTTTTCTGTCTGCTTTTGTGTAATCATCCAATGAGTCCTTTACCCCTCCCTCTCCTTCCAATAGCTTCAGCTGCTCGGTCCTCAATGACAGGGAACACAGAATTACCTGGAACTAGTATCAGAAAATGTTTGTGCTTTGCTGGTTAAACTGATCTACTACCACAAAACAAGAATTTTTAGCATCTCTACACATACACTAAACAAAACCTGTGAACTTACTCTCACCCCTACAGTCTGGGAGGAAATGAGATGCTGCTAACTTCTGCCATGTAATATTTACAAACTTTCTCTAAACTCTTTCAGAATTCTTCCAATGCACACACAACATATTTCAGCTGGAAAGGAAAAATATATTCCTGTACTGGTGAATTTAAAAAACAAAACTTTACCAAAACTTTAAATAGCTTCTTAATTCAATTCTTCTTAATTTATAATATCGCTTTCAGAGAATTAGTGGGTTTGATACGTTATTTTCATTTTTATTCATTGTTAATATCTATTTTTTATTACTATTAGAGTTTCCACCTTGTGGTAGACTTTCAGAGGTTAATGTGTTCTCTTCTGGGCTGTTACAAGACCAGTAAGGCTGCACATTAACAAGATTAAAAATCAGACAACTGTTCTTTTTGATAAATGGCTGATTCTGATTTTTGTACATACAAATGGTATCTGATTGTGCAAAATCCAATAAAATTTGATGCCAGTTTTGCAAACTGTCCCTTTGCTTTATCTACATGTAGGCGATTAGATAATGTCACTGGGTCATATACTCAGGCAATTCCATCAGATTTAATTAGTCTATAACAGTTTACAGTTACATTAGTGCAATTTTCAAGAGGGAGAGGTAAAATAAATCTACACACAATTTGCTGAGTACTACTCAAATACAGAATTTTAAGTTATTAAATATTCAGATTAAGCAGAGGTAATATCAAGGCTTGATTATTCTATCTTCCTCTGAATTGCCTTGTGATAGAAGTAAATCCTTTGTAATGTATTGCCCCTCTATTTTACCTCACATAAAGAAAGCCCCACAAACCCTTCAGAAGACCCTTCTGAGGCTTAAACAAAATTTCTAAGGGGCTCTTGCATTTAAATTTAAAAAAATAAAAAAAGACAACAAATTTTGCCATCCTGTTTCAATTGTTTCAATCAAAATTCTTAATTCACTTCCACTTTTTAGAACTTTTCCACATATTAATCATATTAATTATATGACTATGTGTATGTCATATACAGAAAGTATTCTATACTTTAATCTCTGAAAACTACATTCTAAATCAAACCTCCTAATCTGATTAACCAGAAATATATGCACGTTCTGAAGTTTGGCCTTTTTGCAGGGGATTCTGAATTTGAAAAAAAACATTAAAAGACCATTAAAAAACTTTTAGCCAGGAGAAAGCAGCTATATAAATCAGACAAAATAATTCACAAAATCATTCAATTAGAAAGCTAGAACAAGCTCCCCTTATAGTTAGCAATGAAAACATAAGATAGACAAACTTCCTGAAGCTATAACATGTCGTGTGCAATATGCACTTTGGGTGAATCCAGAACTCTGGTATTTGTGCTTCAAAGTTTAGCCTCTCTTTTATCAACATTACTGCTTTGAAGTTAGAATTGATGGATCAAATGAGTGTGGAGAACACAACAATATTACCATGTAGGGCCTTTCCTCCCCTGTATACAATAACATTTCTAGCTGAAGTGGCAGGTATTTCAGGAGACTGGTGAGGAGAGACCATCTGTGGAAAAGATTGACTGAACTCCTGTTGAGATCCAAGGCCATATAGAACAAACACTGGTGTCAGTAGTGTTCTTAACTCTTATTAAGATCTATCAGGTAAGAATGAGTAGTTAGAGAAAATCCAGTTGTGGAAATTCTATGAAGAGTAAGGGCAATGTTGAACAACCTCCTTTGACTTGCAGTATTTTTTTATCACACTTCTGAGGGAAGAATGAAACAGTCCTAAATGAGAACTACTTCAGCCTCCCAAGTCATCTTTTATGACAAGTGATACAGCCTTCAAGGGGCAAAGCTGCCTGCAATATCTATTGAGGCAGAATTCTAGATGTCATATTTCTAGTAGCCTGTTCAGTTCCCTCTAAATTAGTTTTTCATCTGCAAGCTAAAGTATTGGTGCAAAAGCTACATCCACACATTTGGTTTTTTATTTTGGTTTTATATTGTATTTAAAATGCCCACATTATTTCTTTCACTCCATCTGTTTCTGTCCCTCTTTCTCATATATGTGAACTCACTTTGAGCAAATACGATTTTATTGTCTTGAGGCATTAAGTTTCACACATTGCTTGGTAAAAAATAATATACAACCACTACAGTGGTACTGTGTGTTTCCCAGAGGAAATGAAATGATTACTGATGAGATGAGAAATATGAAAGTGAATAGGTGTAATAAAACAACACGGGCATGGTCATCATCATTAATAATCTTAATTTTCCAAAGAAGTCTACTTTTTCACAGTGATAGATAAACATAAAAAGAGGACGACATACAATGTTTTTCTTGAGTCAGGGAGTTTTAAGATCAGTGATCTGATTTTATCTGCATAAACAAATAGAGCATCTTGCATTTGTTCCACAAACATGGGCAGCAAGAGAAGACAAGATATTAGTCCTATCAGCAACTGCAATTTGCTTGTTTTCTGAAGGAAAACTACCTTTACTTTGCAAACATCACAGAGCTAAGTAATATACAGCTGACTAATCTGTTTTGGAAGATATACATGCAATAAATACATGAAATACATAAAATTTGTATGCATTTGTATGAACAAATCAAATAATTAATGCAAATTCATTCTGAAAAAAATGGAGTATGTACAAGAGTGAAAACAAGCTTATTAATATTGAAGTAAGATCATTAATGCATTTAAGCTCTTGAACTCCTCCTGAGTTCAGAATATTTCTTATTTGATGAGTAAGAAAAGTGAGACATGGAATAGATATGGACTGCAAATACTAAGGACATTGATTTTAAATTTAACATTGATTTTGAATTCTCCAATCTCAGTCTTCTTGCCTTTACAGTCTTAGCATCTGTGAGATGGGTAACAGATTTCCAATCTATCTGCCTTATGAAAAGCCCATTGCAGGCAGCCTACACTGCACCATGGCAGTGTACCAACTCATCAAATGTCACAGGACATTTCTGGCTGTTTTTTCATACAAAGTCCTCTTCACTCCAGATACTGGTTTCTAGCTGAACCTTGAGTCATGCTACCAAATTTACTGTCTGGTTAGTCAGAGAAATTGATTTTGAGGGCAGTGTTGTGATATTCCTCAAAATACCACAGGCATATCTGTTGAGGTTGATTTGAGAAGTCACATACCCACACAACACTTAAGAAAATCAGTGGAATTCTTCTGAAAATAAAAGAAAATGCATAAGGTTTAACTTAGTACTTAAGATTTAGCAAAACTATTTGAGTATTTTGAAAATTTGACACGCAAACATCCTCTTTAAAATCATCAAGAAACTAAATGTCAGAGCTAGGAATAGAATCCATATGCCATAACCTTCTAACTGTATGTCTCAGTCGTCATGATAGCTCTTCAGTTTTAGAGATTGCTATTAAAAATTCTGGCCAAAAGTTTTGGCATAATTTTCAACTGTGAAAGAAAAGGTTTACCTTAGATTCTTTTATTTCTGAAACATACTAATTCAACTTTTTCAGTAAGCCACTGATCACTTGGTTCAATGACATTTAGTCATGGATAGATTAAGTTATAATTAAGTTCACATACACTTACTGACTGGACTATATGGAGCAAGTTCATGCTTCCACTGTTAGAGTTTATTTAAGCAAAACCTTACAAAAAGCTGTTCTGTAAAAATTGGTGGACATGAAGTCAAAATAACTGACAATCCTGGCAGGGCTTGTCACACAACAGAGGATTTTCTTGACATAGCTTTCACAGCAGGGGCATTTCTGGGATATGGTCTTACAGTGATTTAATACTACATGAATAAATCCCCCAAAATTACAATAGGAACCAGACAGAAACACAAGTTTCCCCTTACTTAACAGCCCTCATTAAAGGTTTTTCTGAAGTGTTTGAGCCAAAGCCCAGGAACTAAAGCTTGGAATGACCACTGCCCTGGTAAAGTGATTCTTCCATCTTGCTGACTCAAGAAAACATAATTCCAGTCTCCATGAAGTGTCTGATATTGTCACTGAAAAACTTGTCACTGAAGAGCTGCCTTGTCAGGAAGCTTATATATACTCAGTTACTTGAAATTTCAGACAACTATCAGTTGCTCAACAAATGCCTAGATCATTCAACATATTCTACCTGACAATTCACTGCCCAAATACCCAAGAGCTTTGCAGCTAGAATTAGTTCAGGAATTTGTTTTTGGTTTGTGTCTTCCGTCACAAATGATAAACACTAAGCATCTTTTAAATTGGGAATTTAGATGGCAACTAGAGAAAACATTCACATGAAAGAGAAACTGAAAGTAGAGGAATATGCTTCAAAAATTGATTTTTAGACATGCCATCATTGATTTTTCAGCTTAAGAAAGAAGTGGGAAATAGAGTAGGCATTTTTCAATACTTGACATTGTAGCAGAGTATTCAACAACAAAAAAAATTACATGTCAGTATACATATTAAACAAATTACTATTGGGTCTAATAGGTTGCCATCTTCTGCATGCACTGAACTAGAATAGTTAAAGTGCTTCGTACATCACCAGAGTGAAATTTTGAAGCCTATGTCAGAAAACATTTTTTTCAGCAACAAGATTCAGGTTGATAAGAGAATTCTCACTTCAGACAACAGCTACAACAGATGGAATTAAAGTCCCTCTGTACTCTTCTCCTCTTCCATAAGTTTTTCCCCATTGTCATAAAGTTTAAGCAATTGCTTCTGAACTAATGCATTGCTATTTTATGAATGGTATCTTGGATCACATGACCAGAAGTCACAGTTCATTTAACTAATCATTGTGCATGCTCAGAACTATTCTGTCCACAGAAAAAAAATGTACAAGAGCTGCACACAAAAAAAAANAAAGAAAAGAAAAGAAAAGAAAAGAAAAGAAAAGAAAAGAAAAGAAAAGAAAAGAAAAGAAAAGAAAAGAAAAGAAAAGAAAAGAAAAGAAAGAAAAGAAAAGAGAAAAGAAAAGAAAAGAAAAGAAAAGAAAAGAAAAGAAAAGAAAAGAAAAGAAAAGAAAAGAAAAGAACATTTAAAGTACAGCATAATATGAGAGTCAGAAAGATAGACCTTGTAAAACCCTTGGCAACTCTGAATCAGGTTGGCATGAATTAATCCCATCTTGTGGGGAGCAGGACTCAGAGACTCTTAATTTGCCCTTATCCACATTGAAGTTATAAGACTTATTTTTGGGTTAAGAGACATCAGAATTGCATAGACCTCATGTAATAATAAAGATGGGATGAAGCATCCCTTTTTGAGAAGGAAGAAAAAGAAACGGTGATATCATTATGAGAAACTAATTTCTGGCCTAAGCAAAGTCTAGCCAAGTTTTTACAAAAAGCTCTTTTTAAAGGAGCTCTTCTCTTTCTTTATATCAATTTTTTTTTTGTAAAATTGTGCTCCTACATGGATAGCTTAAATTTTATTTACCTGTCTGTTGCCTACTTGGTATGAAAATAGAATTTCTAAACCACTACAAAAATTAAAATGAGCCAAAGAAACATATCCTGTTGTTCCTGACTGTTTACACTGAGACATAGAAATATACAATTAGTTATTAAGGTGTTACTACAGCACAGGATTTCTCCTTCTCTAACATTTTCTTTTTCTGTAATGCACTGCAGTTAATAAACTTTTATGAAGACCTGATAACCACAGAGAAATAGGAAATAATGAGAAAGGTCCTGTACAATGATGCTTATAAAACTCAGATGGTTGTTAAAAAAAAAAATCCTGTAATCATAAAAATGCTTTAAATGGACCCCATAAAATAAGGTTTCTAGTTGCAATTTTTTAGATTAAATTCAGACCCATAGAAAAATATTATTTGATTTTTATTTTTGGAGGTATAACTTCAAAAACATTATTTAAAATATATGAAAATAGTTGGTATCACATTAAAAGAAGTATATATGAACGTTGGTACACCAGATCAGAATGTAAAGTGTAAAATAAAAGCAACTGAGGCACTATGAGTGCTTTCAGCATTTTGTGACTTGTACTTTTTTGCATATGCTTTATTGGTAGAGCAAGTAATAAAAAACATCAGTTTTTCTAAATACTTTCTCTTGCATAATTGTTCCATTGTTGAAAATATACCAGCTGTGGTGTCAGTTCTCTCTTGTTTTAAGACTAGATATTTTCTGTCTGGCAATATAAACATAACACTTTAACTAGATATGAATATGAGTGAATTTATCTTGGCTTGAATCATTTTCTTTCCTTTTCTATAAGTATTAAAATTAATATCATTTATACTGGTGACTCAGCCACAGAAGTTGTATCTATTGAATCAATAAGTAAAAAGCAAAAACCTAGAATCAACAATAAAAATGTAAATAAATATTAAACTAATTTCTTAATAGCTTCATAAGTGCATACAATTTACATTGCTGCCATATCACCTCTCATTGGTAAGTGCAAAAAGAGTAAAAACTGTTCCTCAGAAGAATTTAGCCTACTAAATCCTATGAGCAAGGTGAAAAGTTTAACAGATAGCATATGGAAGTACACCTCTAGAGACAGCAGTGAATTTTCATTGAAATTAACATGATGTAATAGATTATTTTTTTAATATTTTAAGATAATTCCAGAGAAACAGGCAATAGCCTTTTGACTTGTAGGCTCATGACTTTCAGACTTTGTGTCTGACCAGTGTATGCACTGATGAATAATTCAAGTTTGTATGCAAAGAACACACTGGATCAGCACAGGCAGAGTTGTTAATATCTTCTTTCCTTGCACAGGTGACCAGGAACTAGACCTACGATTGTGTGATAAGTCAGGTGGCAGAAGAATAGGATTCTTTTCTGTTATCACATCAATCACTGTACTTATACTAATATTAGATATTGCGTGGCTCCTCTCCTTCTAGCTGCAGGTTAGATAGCCAGCACACACTTGATTAAACCTTACAGAGAAGCAAGGTGGGAGAGCAAATACCACTCTATTCTCTCTGAACTGTTTCATGCTGGTACATACATAACTTCATGCACCTATCCCAGAGACATGGTTTAAGATTTTTTTTTAGTGTTAGAAGCCTAACAAATACAAAAATGCTTCCAAAATTGATTGTGGCTAAGAATTTTTATAAAATGTAAGTGTTATATTGGCAGTCATATTCATGTATTTAAACCTATTTTGGTTCTATTTGCTTTTTCTTTTTCTTTGTATTGCTGTGGTTTAACCTCAGCCAGCAGCCAAGCCCCACATAGAAACCCATCCACTCCCCCACCAGTAGGACTGGGAGGAGAA